TGGGGAGGACGCTGCGGAGTTCACCTGCTACCCAAGGATTGGAGACCTGGTGAAAGGCTGTGGCCCAGCCCCGGAAACGGGGGAGGGGTACATAAGAGGATGGTTAGCTGGAAGGGAAGACACGAGCCTGCCTTAACACAGGGGGGACTAAACCGTGGTTGAGTGAGCTTATGGGATCGCCCGCAAGGGATCACGCATAGCAGGCACCTATACCCAGAACTAAGTCAGATGCTGGGGGCCTCGGAGGAACTCTGTAGGGTTTACCGAACGGGGAACTGAACTGACAAAGCTGAAAAAATGCACATACCTCTGTGTTAGGGAGAATGTATTAGGTGTTGCCCAGCCTGCAGCTCTGCAAATGTCTGTCAGACAGGTGCTGCTTGCTAACGCCCAAGAGAATGCGATGCTCCATGTGGAGTGCGCTCTCACCCCTGGGGGACACGGCTCACCCTGGCTCCGATAAGCGAGGGAGATGGCATTCTCTCTCCAGTGGGCCAACCTCTGTTTAGATATGGCACTTCCCTTCTGTCGACCACCTTAACAGACAAAGAGCTGGTCAGAGGATCTAAGCTCTGATTGCGGTCCACAAAGGTTCGCAAAGCGTGAACAGGACACAATGAAAGAGCTGGGTCTGCCTCCTCCGCGGGCAGCGATTGCAGGCTCACTACCTGATCCTTAAACGGTGTGGTAGGAACCTTGGGCACATAGCCGGGGTCTCAGGACAACGTGAGAGTAGGCTGGCCCGAATTCTAGGCACGAGTCACTGACCGAAAATGCCTCCAGGTCCACGACCCTCTTAACCGATGGCGAATCTCAGGGATACTGAATTGAGTGGCTCAAAGGGCTCCTCACGTTGGCTCGTTAGCACTTCCCTGAGGTCCCAATAGGGCATGAGAGGGGGGCGGGGTGGATCTTCACACCTCGCACCTCTGAGGAACCGGATGATGAGGTTATGCAGGAAATAGCAGCCACGTAATAGCAGAAGGCGAGAGCCTTCGCTCCAGCCTGTCCTGACGGAAAGAAAGCACAACACTGATCTGGCAGGATCGGGGGTCTTCTTAGCGAGAAGCACACCATTCAGTGAATATACTCTACTTCAGGGCGTAGGCATGCCTTGTAGAGTGTGCTCTAGCCTGAGTGATGGTATTAACCACCGCCATCTGAGACATGCGGCGGGAGCACATATCCCCCATACGGTTGATATACGCTCCCGTCGCCGTGCTGTCCGTCCTGACCAGCACGTGTTGCCACCTCAGCGGCGGTAAAAAGTGGCACAGAGTGAGAAACACTGACAACAGCTCTAGGCAGGTGATATGCCAGGTGGGTTCCTTTCCGCAGGTCCGCAGCAGCATGCCCGCAACACACGGCCCCCCAACCCGTACTGGAAGCATCTGTCGAAACGACAACATGCCTGGACGCCTAACCCAGGGGCACTCTGGCCTGTAGGAAAGAGGGGTCCCTCCAGGGGGTGGGGGAACGACGACACAGCGGAGTGGTAGTCACTCGCATCTGGGGACCTGATCGTGAAGCCAATGCCGTGGTGTCATATGGAGCAATCCGAGCGGCAACGTCACGGCCATGGATGCCATATGCCCCAGGAGCCTCTGAAAAGATTTCAGGGGGACAACATTTTTTCTGTCGAACTCTCTCAGACAGTCCAGCACTGGCTCTATGGTGATCGAGTCCAGCTTCAATCCGAGAAAGGAGGGGCCCTGCACGGAGGCGAGCCAGCTCTTTTCTTGGTTAATCTGAAACCCCAACAGGTGGAAATGCCGGAGCAACTTGTCTCTGTGCATAGTCAACTGTCCCCGAGAGTGGGCTAAAATCAGCCAAATGTTGAGAGAATTGAGCATGCGGATGCCCGCAAGCCGAGGGGGTGCACGGGTGTCTTCCGCGAGCTTGGTGAATCCCCGCGGAGACAGAGAGCCTGAAGGGGAGGACCTTGTATTGTCATGCTTAATCTTCAAACGCAGACCGCAGAAACTGCCAGTGGCGTGGAAGTATGGAGACATGCAGATACGCGTCCTTCAGATCTATTGCTGCAAACCAATCCCGAGGACGAATGCATCGGTTGATGTGCTTCTGCGTAAGCATTTTAAATCGCAGCCTGTGATGGCAGCGGTTCAAAACGCGCAGATCTAGGACTGGCCGTAACTCATCACTCTTTTTGGGCATGATGAAGTACAAGCTGTAAAACCCGCTCTCCATCTTGGCTGGAGGGGCTGGCTCGATTGCATCTTTCACCAGGAGGACAGCAATCTCCACTCGCAAGAGAGGGGCGGACGCAGGACTGAGCCTGGTGAAATACACTCCCGTGAACTTGGGAAGCCGTTTCGCGAAGTGTATCGCATAGCCGAGTCCGATTGTACGGATGAGTCACTGCGACCGCGCTAACCAGGCAGGCAGAGCTGACATGCCAGCGTTGAGGCAGCATGGAGTAGGTGGGCTCGCCCGGGGAGCGCTGGGGTCTTGAGAGGCAAGAGACTCGCTCTCGTCTCGCACCCAAGGGGTGCAAGGAGGGGCTGCAACAGGGAGAGAAAGGAGACCGTTCTCTCACGCTCTGTGAGCCATTGGCGAAATGCACCCATCCTGCGAGCTGGAAAGCATAGCGTCCCAAACTGGCAGTGTTCAGGCTTTCACATCCGGGGAGGCGGAAAAAGCTCTTTAAAGATTTGATGGCGTTTTTTTTTTTTTACGCCGTTAAATGAAGAGCCCCACCCTCCAGCGGGGAAAGAGCAAATACCCTCCTCTCCGGATGGCCCATCTTAGGGATGCTTTACGGTCCGTTTACAGAACTTAGTGGCACCCTGGAGCAGGGGGCGCTGGCTGCTTGCGAGATGCTCAGCGCAGTCGCTTGGCCAGAGGCACAGGCGGGGCGGCAGAGCAAAAAGCTACAGACGAACACTCTCGGCGAAAAGCAGTGGATGTGGATGGCTCGGAGGAACGGAGCGGTCCCGCCGATAGATTATAACACATCGTCTCCGACTGCTCCATCACTGGCATGAACTGACGGTGTCGCTGAACAGGCCAGCCCGGGATATGGGTGAGTTAACAAAGCGAACTATGTCAACATCACACACATCACCAGATTTAGCCTGAGGTGGCATTCCTGGCCACTAAAGTGGCCATCGTCCTTTCCAGGGTGCAGAGTTCATGCCCAGTCCTGGGTCGGAACAATCCTCTTGCAGCTGGGCCAGCGCCTGCGCTTGGTAGTGCTGGTAGGTGGCCATAGCATGCAAGGTGAGGGTGGAGGCGCACACAGTACACTGCGTAAACCTATTGTGCGCATCCAGGAAGAAAGGTTTTTATACCCCTCTAGTCGGTCCGGCCGCGGGGCTGTGGGATAAACCATTTTCAGAGCCACGGCCGAAGCAGCCTGGGAAAGCATGGCCACAAAGTCTAATTCTAGATTCAACACCGCGCTCATCAACCCGGAGGGAGAAGCGGGTGTGTATCCTTATCAGACAATGCAGTGATGGAGATATGATCTCCGGTGTCATCAAGTTAGAGAGAGCGACCATCTTAAGAGGGAGCGCTACTTTCACCTGAAGCTTGGATAGAGATTTTACTCCCACTGTAATCCTCAGATCTGCCCGAGTGCCAACCGCAGTGCGGGGGACAACTGGGGTGGGTCGCTTTTTTGCAAGAGTGAGCCACGATCTTAACTGCGCAGCAGACATGACATCAAAGAGACGGCATGCACTGCTCGCGAGCACCGCATTAACATGCTGGACCCCCAGACATGAAACGCTGTGCTTGTGCCCATCATCCAGGGATAGGAAACCACCGCATCCAGAAACGCACGCTCAGAGCGACGTCTGGTAAAAAAACGTGTTGCTCTTTTAGGAAAACTTTTTCCCTATTTACAAACCTCTCTTGGAGGACCAGACCCAAAGAACGCCAGGCAAGGGAGAAAAAACTTATATACTTATATACTTGACTGATTGTCATTGATGCCAGCTGTGCATGCTGACGCCGCCAATTCATTTGGCATTTCATTGGCACGATTTTATACTCTTTCAGATGATTGGTTTCTGACAAAAACCACATATTGGAAGGTTTTCCACATAGCATTGGAGTTTCCCATCCGAAGGGGAACCAGCACACACTCAGCCAGTGCCATCTATTGGTTTGTGTTCACTATAGAACTTCAAGTTGCCTGCACACAACAGTTGAGTTGGCCCTACATCTCCACATTCCACCTCAGTTGCAGCCTCAGCTGCAGTGAGCAGTCTGCACGGCTCTCTGCCTACAGTTTGGGGCAACACTTCTCATGCTATACCCTTGTCTTTTTAGTGCACTGCATGAGGTATGTCAAATTATGTCAGAGTTTATTTATACTTCTATCTACACCTACTATTAATACATGTAATAAAAATATGTCTTATATCAGAATATTTTTTAATAAGCTTGACTGTATATAATACAAAAAAATATAATAAAATAACTTTTAAAGTGTTCTTTTTTAATTGAAAATTAATTTTGAGAGCTATGTTAATGAAATCAAGATTTTAACAATCATTTTTTTCATTCAACTTATTTATCTTTATTTATCAGGGGTTGCCACAGTGGAATGTACTGCCATCTATTCCCAAAAAATGTTTTACTTCCAGCCTCAACACAGTCCTGGGAAACACACTCTTGCATTTTCACACACACTCATACACTATGGCCAATTTTGTTCATCCAATTCACCTATACTGCATGTCTTTGGTCTATGGTTAACTGGAACACGCAAATAAAAACCCATGTGAACACAGGGAGAACATGCAAACTTCACACAGAAATGCCAAGCTGAGCCACTGTGCCGCCGATATGCAAATGTTTTTACATTTTGCACTATAAAAAGTCTTCCCAAAGCATCAAACTTGCTTGCTTAAAAAAACCTGGAGAATGGTTGTTCCTCTTTAAAAGTTAAATAACCACATTACTATTACCATACATTCATTATAAAAAATGTGTCTGCACATTATTATATCCAATGATTCATTTGGTCTTACCGCCACAGCCTCCAGGATTTGTTTGATAACATGAGCTGCATCTCTTTCGCTATAGTAGCCCCTCTCCACAATTCTGAAAAATCATACAAACCATCTGAATTTTTGCCTATTTTTAAGCTGTCAATGAATGTCTTAAATCCTCTTTTTCATGTGGCTTGCATTTTATCATACCTGTCAAAAAGCTCTCCACCCGTTACCAGTTCTAGTATGAGAAAAATCTCTGTTTCTGTCTCAAAAATTTCCTTCAAACGAATCTGGATGAAAAAAATGAACAACAATGAATGTGAAATATTTCATAACATTGTGTAGAGAATTTCACAATATATTGAAAGAAACAAAAATTTCTTACAATATTTGGATGAGACAGACGCAGCAGAACTCCAATCTCTGTCCTCACAATTTTCTTGTCAATCTGATTTGATGAAAAAATTAATAATCTCAAACATTCTTAGAGATTTTAGAATAAAAAAACAGCAAATAAAATCAAAAAACAACTTACAGTTTTCTTTAAGACCTTCACAGCGTAAGGTTTCTCAGTCTGCTTCTCTTCACAACGAAGAACAACAGATGTGGCACCCCTGGTGGTTGAAATAAAGAAAATTTGAGTACTTAGTTAAATGTACACTAAGCAAATTACCATACACATGTGCATTTACAGGGGCTGCACTGTGACTGTTAGCACACTGGCTGCACAACAAGAAGGTTGCTGTGCCAGAAGCAACCTTCTTGTTGTGAAGGTCCCGAATAAGTTAATTTAAAAGATAGAGTATATGGATGTTTCCTAGTATTGTGCTGGGTTGTGACTGAAAAAGCATCCGCTGCCAGAGTAGTTGACGGTTTAATCCCCTGGGCAACCCCTAATAAATCAGGGACTAAGCTGTGGCAATGACTGAATGTGCATTCACACAAACATGGCAGACTAGAAGATACTACTAAAACATAAAATAATGAAAGAATGAAAGAAATGCGATCATGCAAGAACTGTAAACTCTAGTTTATAGCTTATTTAATCAAATAATACTCATACCTATTCCCCATTATGACTTTTTTATGCATAATGTAATCTTCCTCTAAACTTGTTCTAATGTATGTTAACGTAAAATCCATTTTTTTGCAAATGTCTCTTAGTTCTTTAAAAGTTCAAGATTACACTTGGTTAAATTACCCAAATTCAAATAAAATTTTAAAACATTTTAACTCTTATCTATATTAAATGTAAGAAATACATCCCAAATAACCGCAAATTAGTAGTGATGACTTTATACATTTTTTCAGTGATAAAATAGAAGGCTTCAGACAGAAAATAGAAGATGTTAAACTTTCTGCACCACCTTATTCTTCAGATCCAGTAAACATTCCACTGAATCAAAATAACATATAGTGCTTCAAAATCATAGAACAGGAAAAGCTAGATAAAGTTATAAATAGCTCTTCACCAGCTACGTATTGCTAACCGTTATAGGGGAACCTCTTCTTAACGTTATTAACTCTTCTTTATCTTTAGGCCATGTTCCAAATCCCTACAAGCTAGCTGTTATTAAGCCTATTATTAAGAAACTGGACTCCAGCAACTTAGCTAATTATAGGCCTATTATAGGCCTATCCTAAAATACTAGAAAAAGTTGTATCTGCCCAATTATGCTCCTTTCTGCGGATGAACAATGTTTTTGAAGTTTTTCAGTCCTCATTACAGTACAGAAACTGCATTTGTGAAAATAACCAATGATTTACTCTTAGCTGCTGACCAAGGGTGCATCTCGCTATTAGTTTTACTTGATCTTAGTGCCACATTTGACACCATCGACCACAATATCCTCATAAATCGCTTAAATTCTACAGGTGTCCAAGGACATGCCCTACAATGATTTAAGTCATACTTGGCTGACCGTTACCAGTTTGTGAATATTAATGGGCAGCTTTCATAAGGCAGGCCAGTTAAGTATGTCTCAAGGATCAGTTTTAGGCCCTTTGCTGTTTACAATATACGTTCTACCCCTGGGAGACACTATTAGAAGACATGGGATCGCATGGGTCACAGGCTATGATGCGTGTTGGCTTAAAGTTGCAGCCTCCGAAGTGTGAGTCGAAGTAGAATGGTGATGGTTTAAAAAGGCAGGTGTGTTGCAGCTGGCTGGGGTGATCGATATCACAACCCTCGCATTCTTTTTTCAGCTGAGCATCAATGATGTGCTGCATGAGCACTGTGATCAGAGCTTTTATGATTTTATGAATAATTCCGATAATTAGATTCTCATCAGTTTAATTAAATGAATAATTTCGGTAATTAGATTTTTACCAAACTAATAAATTAATAATTCTAGTTAATTAAAATATTAAATTAAATAATAAATTATCATTAATTAGATTTTTATCAAATTAAATAAAATATCTCAACCGTTAATAAAACCATATTTTAATTATTGTAATAAATTATATTATATTATATTTAAATCATTGCTATAAACTATATTATAATTATATACTATTTTACACTATTTTATTATATTTTAATTATTGCAGTAAATTATATTATTATAAATATAATTTTAGATTATTTTATATTAGAATTAATAAACTATAATCTATGCACCGCTGTCTGACGTATATCCCATGTGTTCTTGCCTGCTTGCGTTTCCACTATCGCGCCTAAAGCCAGCGAGCCAGGGCAAGCCAAGGCCAGTCGCGTTTCCACTGTCACTTTCGGGGCCTAATCGGGCCAAATCGGGGCTTTCTTGGGGCCAGCGGCCGGCCTTTTTCGGCCAGCCGAATACCTTGGGCCAAAGAGGGCCAGCCAGGGCTTCGGGGCAGAGTGAACGGAGAGGCGGCCACAGTTTTCCCATCGCACACGAGTACATGTGCCAAACACATAAACAAATAAATAAATAAATAATGGAAAGAAAACATCTAGAACAAATTATAGGCTGGGGTCTTTTTGCGTATGATCGGCTTTTTTCTTTTATTTTTTATTGTTTTTATTTATTTTGGAGATAATACAGTATATGAATACAACAAAAAACATTAAACTTTACAAATTTCGTGTCCACTTTTTTAGGCTCAAAACAATAGTGTCATATCTAGATAAAATAGCCTAAGCTATATTGAAATAATTTAAAGAATTACAAATATCGGATATAATAAAATCACATTAAATGAATAAACCAATATAAAACTAACAAAAGCTAGCAATAACAATTAGGTACTATATCAAACTGTTTTAAAGCCATATTAAACTTTCATTTTTCAAAAGCCTCCTGAATGAGATTTTAGATATTCTCTAAAAACAATAAACACCGGAGAATGTTTTAAATATTATTTATGAAGTATTTGGATACGATGATATTAATCAAATCATGCAAACAGATCATTTTCAGGGTCAGTGAAAGCAGAAACTAGGCAACCTTTTTTTTCTGTCTTCCAGCTGCGCAGCACTTTTTTGACTGCAAGTTCAAAATTTGTTCTGTGTCCTCAAACAAGTGTTTATGTTATTATATGACGTGGTAAAATTAAAAAAGGAAATTTTAAATACATAAAGAGCTTTATTAGTGCATAGCTGCTGAGCGCAACGAATTATAGGCTATATTTTATTACTTGCTGCTCTTGTGCTGAAACACTTAACACTTTCCTTTACTTAAGATATAATAAGCAACATCTTTAAAAAAAGGAAATCACCTATTAGGTGTCATAAAGCATAGGGAAAAATTCATGTTTCAGTTCTCTCCGGAGCATTTGAGATAAATGTTGGACAGCGTCTGTCTAACTGAGGATGTTATAAAATACATTTTATATCAAGTTATTTTTTATATGTGGTTTTATATTGTGGATGTGTAGGCTCCCTGCGCTGGGTCCCTCTGTTAGTGGCAAGACCACTGGATTTTGATGCCAAAAGTCGGTCGGCGAGTAAATGAATATGATGAATGAGAACACACAGGTATGTGCATATAGACATACATTGTACTGCTGTACAGTAACGTGTCATTTGTTTGTTTTGGTTGTCCTAATTTTAATAGTTTCGTGATGATGTGGTGTGCTTTATCTGCCTGATTCACGCTGAAATGGGCTGATTAAGTGACGTTCGATTTGGGGGATGTTGTGGGGGTGGGGTTTGTGTGATGCGATGCGAGCTACTAGCCCGACAGTGGAAACGCGACATGATTTCGGCCTCACTGCTCAACCTTCCGGGCGATTGGCCCGGCCTAGCCCGATAAATGACCTGGCTCGCACTGGCCCGATAGTGGAAATGCGGCTAATGTTTGTGTGTGTGTCTCTGGTAGGGCTGTGGGTGTGGGGGCTGGCTCTGGCTGTGTGTCTGTCTGTGTCTATCTTGGTGTGTGTGAGTGTTGATAAGAAAAACTTATCCTTTAGACAACAACCCGTCAACTGTTTGTGAAAGATTTATATCAGATATGGAACATATATCTGATTGTATGTGTTGGGTGTCTCCTACTAAATACTATATGTTGTTAGGTGATTAGAAAATGTTCTGATATTGCATATCTATATATTCACATGCAGCTAACTTTGAGCATATGTATGTGTGAGTGTGTGTGTGTGTGTGTGTGTGTGTGTGCACTTCTGGGTATGGTTTTGTCTGCTTGAAGTCATGATAAAGTATTTAATGAACCTGCCTTTATTATTGCTTATTAATAGGTTATGTTGTTTTTCACTTTATTACTGAATTAGACTAATACGTATTTTAAGACAGACAGAAGAGCATCAGTCATATCATTTAAATGTATCAATGTTGGAACTATCAAATTAAAATATGTTTACAATATTAATCCAGTAAATAACAAATCTTAATCTGTATTGACAACAAACTGTCACACCTTGTAAAACAATTTAATCTAAAAATGTAATGTTCTAAACTGTTGAATGAAAAACAGAGATGTAAATTCAAGTTGCCTTAGAGATTAATGAAAAGTTTTATTATAAAAACATTTTAAACTGAATGTTTTTCTTGCACGTTTTCAATATTTTAACAGGCATGTTCTGTAATTTATGGCATGCATTGTAATACAATTTATCTAAAAAAACTTTATGTTTTGCACACTGGTCAACACTGGTTTGAAAATAAACATAAAATATTTACTAAGGACCAATCGGTCTTTAGACAGTATTGTTATTTCTGTTTCAAAGGATAAATAAAATGTAAAACTTGTAGTAATTGTACTACTCACGGTTGAAGCCAGGCAACTTAGTTTTAATTAATTTTAGATTTAAACTAATTTGAATTCATTGAAAATACTTGATAATATAAAGAGAAATATATAGGGCTCTATTTTGACGGTCCATGCGCAGAGCGCAAAACGCAGAGCGCAAACGCTTTCAGGGCGTGTCAGAACGCATTTTTGCTAATTTACGGACGGAAAAATACGATTTGCGCCGTGACGCATGGTCTAAAAGGGTTGAGTTTATTTTCTTAATGAGTTATAGGTGTGTTTTGAGAATAAACCAATTAGAGTCTCACCTCCCATTTCCTTTAAGAGCCAGCTGCGTCGCGCCATAAGCGCATTCGCTATTTACAGTACAAAAAGTAAGTCTAAGTGGAAAAACTGAGCATTTCACTAGCAAACAGTTA